TTGTTGATTACATCAAATGAGATTAGAATTTTGAACCCGATGGTGGAATAGGAAGTAGTTGAACCACAAAATCAATAAAACAAATCTTTCTGTTGAAAATTTAAAATCAGTCACACTATACAATGATGTAGTGCTTAGATTTAAACATAGGCATTCATATGTATATCATGAAATACATGTGTCACCTTGGTCGAAACAGTGAATGTCCCACTCACAAGCTTGTTTGAAGTAACATGAAATTTGAAAGAACAAAAGGAGAGGTCAAAGCAAAACGACACATCAGTCCATGAAGTCATTGATTACTAGATTCAGTAATATTCTTGGGTGAAGACTATCTGAATGTTGTTCACACAATAACCTCGAACAGTGATTGGAAATGTTAGATGACATGGCTCATAATCCATTCATTATCTTACACTAGATACCAAGTTTTAGCATCACTTGATCTAAATATACCTTTCCCCAGTGAATACTCTTTCTTATTATTATTTCTACTTCCAGTTAATTGAATCTCCACTACGTTGATGTGATACATCAACTTCAAAAAAACACAAACCATTTTGTTAAGCTCTAACATTATGACTAACTGTAAGAATGAATCCATTTCAATCATATTGATCAGCATTACAAATTACAATGAATATTAACTTTTAAAACCCCCTAATTTTAACGTAATTCTTGGCTTTAAACAAAAGTACGCACCACCACCATTACCCCCCCCCTATATTATTTTCATTCTCAAGTCATTCATTAATTGAACAATGACATAAAAATGAGTGCATAAAAGTACAATTAGAAACTGATTTTTACAATTGGGTGGGACGACAAACAAACAGAAAAAAAAATGATTGATAGCAGAGTTAAATATGTACTACGTGTTTACAATGTAACGATTGTTTCGACAGTACATTTATTTGCCTTTATTTTATGTGCCTATATTAAAGCGATCAAAACATTACTCAAATTTCGTTACTAGAAATAATAACTTCAAGTGCCTCTTTTTCTGACTTAACTTTCCACATAATCTTCAACTTTTTCTAACTACTTTAAGTTTTCTAAATTTCTGCATGTTTGAATATTATTACTATGCATGAGGAATTATACAAATTCATTTTAGTTCTCCATGCTCTACATCAAATATCAAGTTCTCCTAAAATTTGTTTTCTTCATGTTAGTGGCCAAGTATTGAGTGCTAGTTACCACTTTCAAATAACGCAATATAACCGGTCCTAATACAGTAGCTCAATCGTTCCTAATTACGCAAATACTGAACTTCAAAATCATGCAATCACAGTGCCATACCAATGAATCGATAATACTGTGAAATCAACAGACAAAACTTAATAACGAGAAATAGTTCAGTTCTCGTTTCTCCTCTAGTTTTGTGTAGGTTAACTGATTCCTCTCGCACTCATATATATATACATGAATACTTTTTTTTTTTTCATGGAAAAGCTAGTTATGGTTGTCACACAGTATAAGATGTAAGCTTAACGTTCTCAAAAAGCACTATCAGTAAAAGATTGGATTTAAAAAATCTCGCTACTAATCGCTCACAATCCTCTTCGATCCATCATATAAAAAATTACATATTCGAGATCAGCTGGATTTACTCATTATATTTTCATCGTTTTAGAATGAACAAATAATCGTATTTCATTTTGTTTGTTACTATGCACTTAAACATTCAATACTTGATATACATAAACTTATTTAGACAGTTACACCGACCACAGAATCATGATAACAATCTGGTAAATAGGTATTTTTTTAAACTAACAAAAAAAGTGTCAGTACTCTGTACACATTTTGCATTTACACAATTTGAAAACTACTAATTCATAGCCCGGTTAGTGTCAAAATGGATCAATACAGGTTATAACTTGTGAAACTCTAAGAGATGAAAATAAATTGTATCACCAGATAGTATTTACAATGACGACAAATAGTGGGATTATTTTGGTGGACTTCTATCTGAAATTTGTGCTGATGATATCGTTCAGAAGAACGATGAAAGCTCCACGACCAAACCATCCAGCTCAAAGAACAAAACTCCACCAAAATCATCCACCTGAGCTACAAATCTTCTCCACCATCTCAAGTGGGATTATTTGTTGTGTTTATAGAAGTGGATTGATAAAAGATAACACTGGCTTATTACGCAAGTAGTATTGTAAAGAAATCAGGTAAACACAGTTGGGATGGATTATTAAAACTTAATATTTAGGGTTTTACCATGAGAATAGAGCACTCCACAGACAATGTTACTTATAGATGATGGATTCATGATTTAATGGTTTACATTTCAAAGTTTCACAAGTTATCTCAACCATCAACTAGTGATATCGGTGAAAACTGTAACGGGTCGTGAGAATATGCAACGGGTAAGTTTCAAAAAAGAATAAACAACTGTAGTATATTGCTCCCTGGTTTTCTTAATTTGATGTTGTTAGTCTGTAATACAATTTCACGAACTCTGACTTTATTTCTTTACAATAAACTATTTGTCTAATCAAATGACTAGTTTGAAATGACGCTTAGCGATGCATAATAACTGACTCTGTTCCAAATGATATTTAAAAAAACTTTTCCATTTATAGTGATTTATTCTTAAAGTGATTTCCTAACTAGTTCGAAAATATCAACACTTTTTCTTTTCTATTACTAACAATAGTAAATAATGAACACGTTAGATGGTGGTTGGAGGCTGTCTACAGAAAACTCTAGACCCGGGTTTCATGCTTTTTGGCACTTGTCAGCAAGGTGTACCTGTAATCTTGGGGGAACTGGTGCTTCCTGAAGGATTCGATCTCGTGTCACCCAGCTTCATAGTCAGAGCCGTTACCACTGAGCTATTCGAGCCGCGACTGACCACCTGTATGACTGAGATGTAATCACAATTGATTGATCACTGGATGGCGATCAATGTCATGCACGTCTAGTCCTTATTAGTGCAGATCGAATGCTATCGACCATGCTGCAATATGGCCACCGGTCAATAACATTCGATCTGCACTGATAAGGACTAGACACGCATGACATTGATCGCCATCCAGTGATCAATCAACTGTAATGAACACGTTCTCCAATAATTATATATCTCGTTAATACATTGAAGTTTGCAGTAGAATAATAATTTCAGATACTGAGAGTTATGTATTTTGGAGATATTAGTTTAATTAACTGTCATATGTGTACTGTACACATTCTAATAACAAACAGTGTGAATTATTATAAAAAGGAGAGTTGAATTATGTTTGATTATGAATTGTGAAAATACGTAAAACAGTTTCTTAAAATAAATAAAAAACACAAAATTACATTAAACTTCAAAACAAAGGTAGATTCGAAAAGCGGACACACTGTTCCTAAGGGATTTTTTTATCCAATTGTTGGAATATTTCGAATTGAATTTAAACAGAAGTCTTGATATAATCTATATATTCATAAAATGACTATATTTTTGATAGCTATATGTTTCGGCCTATTGGAATCATGTCACTAAAGTTTACCTGTGAACCCGTTTTGATTGATGGTTACTGTGTAATATTTTTAGACTGTGTAAAGAAATACATATGAGATAAGGGTATATCCAACTGACGAGATCAAAAGAAAGCAGGAAAAAATGCGAGCACCCGATTCTACTATTAGTCAGTCAATCTAAAAAAATGCCCTGGTACGGCCGAGAGTGGGGAGAGTCAGCTCTCCCTCTAGAAATGTTCTTACATGGCCACGCGTATATAGCTTCTGCCACAGAAGTCCTACTCACTACCCTCTCGCACCACGGGTGTTGTTTACAAAATTGAGAGGACGAAAAGCGAATGTCCGGTGCTTTAACCGGGTTGGCGGATATGGAGGATCCACCCCGATTCAAAACCAATGGTGTACATGGGCTCCAGTACCTTAAGGGAACAAATGGCGTATGAAGCAATCGTTAGTCATCGGCTACCATGGGACTGCATCTCCTTACGATGCTCCACTGCCTTGTAGATTAAACCTTTAGATCGAAGGTTCCGGGTGTGGCACACTAAGAAAATCACCTGCTTCGGTTTGGGCACACGAGCAGTATCACAGCCCTCACACAAATCAAACGAGATTTGTACCAATATCTATGTGTTCAAATAAATAAATAAGTAGTTCTAATAAATTCGACACTTAAATTAGTTATTGCCTATAGTAAAAAATAATTGATGAGAGGAGGCTTTTATGTAAGAAATGAGGAGATTAGCCAAAACATTGATGAATATAATAATTATACATAAGCACATAATTTGACATTGTAATTATCTTTATTAATCATGATTATAGAAAGAATAACCATAAACAGACTGACTAATTAACTGTGTATAAACACACTCTCGTGAATACTATTTTATCACCAAGATGGAACAGCTTGAACATGATATCCGAAAGATATAAATGTTAAAGTGAGTTCACACCAATAAGTAACCTGGTATTTAATCTACAGAGAAGTATTAGGTAGAGGTTGTGACATAGCGGTAGAATTGAGGGTAACAAATTCCATGCTCAATAGTGAAGTTATAATGCCGATTGTAGTATTAGGTTAGGACATTTTCCTATGGATAAGCAGTAGCTGTAGTGATACGATCCATTCATGAATGGGAGAAATTTCCCTTTATGAGGTTACTTTCAAGCATGTTAGGTTGACGAGATTGTCGAAAATCGTCAATTTTTTTCCAGTTTCCAGTCAACATAAAAATACAGTGCATGGGATGTTGAGTCACTTAGACTAGTGGCCACATTACAGTTTGATCAGTAGAATACGACATTGGTCATTATTCATTGATAAACCAATTTCAAGTACGTCTCAGTCCAACAGGAAGTCAGTTGCGACCAAAACAACTCAGTGGTGACATCTCTTAGAAGCTAAGTGACACGGGGTCAAATCCATCAGAGAGTATCAGTGACCTCAAGATTACAAGTATACCTTCCTAATGAGTGCCAACTGGTACGAAACCTATATATATATAATAACTCACTTCACTATTCAAAAAATTAATCATTGCTTGTTCAGCTAATACTTTTGATTCATTGAATTTTTCTTCAGCAATCTTAAGTTCATCTTCAGGCAATCTTGAATTGTTTGCACCTATGAAAAAGAGAGAAATATTACGAAAAATCCCAGATGAAACATATAAATAATGAAGGAATATACACAGTATTTTCATTTTGAATTATGGTTTCAAACTTTAAAAAGTAGTTGAGGTAATTATATATGATAAACTATGAATTACGTAACAAGTATCGTAAACACTATCCTTAGAAAGAGTTTGAAATATCCACCGTTGTTGATATTCAAGTCGGAATGTTGATTAATATTAGAAGGCATATGTGTATCCTCTATGGGTTGCTTCAGTATAAGCTATTTTTTTCAAAATTTTTTTTAGGATAAATGGATTGTGACTAGCAATGGGATTTAAGATACGGTTTCTGTCCCGAAGGTAGATACTGCGTTCGAAAATCAACACAGATATTCAGCTAACGAGTCATAAACAGCACGGAGGTTCAACTTCATCAGAAGCTTTTATCACAATTCTTTTAAATTAATGTGAGAGATTTCTGAAAATTGATCATTTTAAAGACAGACATGGCGAACTACACTTAACTAGTAGACAATCCTATAAAATTATGGAACGGTAAACAACTATCTCACTTTATTCTATTGTATTCATCAACAGTGCACAGACACTGTTCTGCTATGAATTGAACCCAAGATCTTCAGGCATGGCAACATGCACATAATTTTCAAACCACTGAACCGGGATAAAACAGTTCATTTTCCCAACTTAATTCATTGTATAATCCAACATACATTCATTGGGATTACTAACGCTTAATCTTCTCTCTTGATATACTTGGACTTTATTGGTTGAAAATATGAACTATTGTGTATACCGACTCGGTGGTTCTATGTTAAAGAACTTGGGTTCGACTCTGAGATAGTAAGTGTACAATCCTGAACAGTTTATCATAATAGAGCGCAATAGTAGTTCAATGTTTTCTAGTTTTTAACAATCGTCTAGATAAGGTTAAAAATTGCTGCAAACTATGTTCAAATAGTAAACGATAAAAAATCAGTAAAATGTGGTATACTACAGTAACTCAGTTTCATGCACTAGGTTATAAAACATTTCAAAAATCATAAAACCACGTTGCCATCTACAAGACTGTTGGGAATGCTAGATCTCCAGAAATCACTTGGTAAACGACTTATTTTTATAATTTTATTTTAGAAATTTGGATTTCCTTGTTTTTGCGCCGAAAGCGCTCTTTTCACCTTTATGTCGTATTTCCCACTTGGGAGAATCTTAAACGCTATTGGTTCGTTGTATCTTTTAGTATGCTATTTTGTAACGCTTCACAAGGACAATTTTATGCTGTATATATACATTTGATTTGTGCCTGTTGTGATCGCTCATGCTTCGGGCTTTTTGCGGAATATATTTCCCCGTTTCGAATTTGGACTTCTCTCACTAGTTAGCGGGGCTGAAACGCATCAGAATAGCTAGTTTATTTGATCTTTGGTCACAAGTTTTCGTTCCGTTCGCAAACTAGGTGAACACCTCGTAATCGCTTCAAACGTAGCAACTAGCATGATGGATATGAAGCAATTTTTCTTTTACAGTTTTTATTGTGTTATAATATGATTAATCACAATACTACTACTCAATTACATCCTATTTAAAATGATATCCAAAATAAATTTGATCAATGTATTATCATCTCAATAGAATCTAATTGGAAATGTTAATAGTCTATGATGAGATATGTTTACATATTTTGTATTAAATCTATAGAATAAATGGTAAGAAAATACATTTCAATCAAACTAGAAACATATTAACCATATAATACGGATTCATCATTATAGTATAATCTAAGAGAGATACACTTTGGAATGTGACAGCATATTTGAAATAGTCACCTACTTATTCACTTATCAATAAAAACACAATAATGATGATGATAGGAACTGAATAGAAACATTATGAATGTATGTATTGTAAATGTTTTTTTAATCATTTAGTTAAATGATGAATGAAAAACAAAATACACTTTAGGTATTGCTACACTATAGAAGAGGTCATAGATTTGAAAATTTATCTAATATCAACTTAGACAATCGATCAGTATTGTAACCTCTAGATAATAACTATAAAAATCAGTTTACAAATATATTTGAAAGGGTTTTGTGGATATGACAGTAATTTCAACAGTTGAGATCATAAGTCAATTGAAGCTAGATCACCATGAAAAACGTAGAAGCATTGGACGACCGTTTCGTCCAATTGTGAAACTCACTAGTGACTAGCTTCAAGAGGCATTTCTTGGAGTTCTAGTGAGAAGTAGTGATCAGTAGAGTTCAACCGGGTCTGTTGTGAGATAATAACTCACTGAAGACCATGGTAGATGTGTCGCCTAATTTCGTGGATTAGTTGAAGTTAGACATTAACACAGTTAGATGCCGGCTCAGTGGTCTAGGGTTTAAGCGCTCGCCCTGGGTTTGGATCTCGCGAAGTGGGATCGTGGATGCGCACTGCTGAGGAGTCCCACAATAGGACGAGAACGCTGTCTAGTGCTACCAGGTCTTGCATGGTGGTCTAGTTTCAATTCACTCATGAAATTAATATACATATGTTGTCTTCTTGTGATTCAGATTTTCTTTATTAATTTAATGTCGAACAAACAAACTATCACCATCATGAAATTGTAGATGTTCAATGAACAGACGACATTGATCACTCCATAAACTAATTAGTTAAGGAGAGAACAATTTGACAAATGACTACATATACTTAGATCCATTGACAGTGGACAATTTTACAATTAATCAGCATGTAATACAGTAACAAAAGCAATGAAAAAATTGATTGTAATTTACATTTCAAGTTAAATGATTCCCTATTCTTATACATTTATCACCCGTTTATCTTATACTACCATTAGTTAATATACTAACCACCTATCGTTTAAAAAAACCTACAGAAAAATATATGTAAGGGCGCAAAGACAGACATTATCAACAAAGGCCTGGGACAGATAACTGTTCGTTCAATATGTCATAACTAATTAGCATGAAGAGAACAAAATAACAAGATATATACCAAAACAGATTGAAGTAATGCAATAGCAATAATAAACATAAGATTAAAAATTTGGAATATGGTTCTAAAAGACAGAGTGAAATAAAGAATATGAGAAAGAATACCGAAATCTATAACTGAAAAAATATAAAGCATGAAAGCATCTGCTCCATTATGGACATTTTTGAGCCATGTCATCCAGAGTCTGCGACCATACCAACATAGTTCAGTTCAACAACTAATGGCTTTATAGAGTGATGCCATGTGTCGATTTGGATGCTTCTAACATCCTTAACAACATATTTCTAAACCAACAACCATCGCTCATCGAGATAAACGAGGATTGAGTTTCCTTAACGCGTCCTAACTCATTCAGTCGATAAAGATTAACGACCTCAATAACTAGTTCGCGACCTTTATTTAGTACCCTACGATAGGGTTAGCCCCAACACTACTCACTCGATCGTTTCACAACAACAACAAAAACAATGTTTCGAAGACACTTATGAAAGTTGATAATTTTTAAGTCACAAATGGACTATCTTTGGTTAGATACTAACGTAAACGTTTCGTATCGTTAGTTTCTTTTTCGTCAGTCAACTGGTTGTTAATTATATGGATTATCATAAGCTAGCAAGAATGTGTACCGATTCGAGATGTTACAAATCAATGTACATGAAGATGACTAAATAAATAAGAAGCAGAAGAAAAAGGAAATAATAATATTACCCTCCAGTAAAATATTAAATATAAGAAACGTAGTTTCCAAAAAGATTGAATGAGATGAGAGAATGAAGTAATTTCATACTCAAGATACAGAGGGGGGGGAATTAGAGAATGAATGTAAGTGTTATCAATTTTAAATCGTGTTATTCAACGTTTCCAGTTTTTTTTAAAAAAAAACAATTCTAATCTCAATTCAACAATCAATGATCATTTGAAATGATCTCAGACCTTCGTCCAACCAACAATAACATTCTTTTCTAACCCAATCCCACATTAGCAAGCAGGTGATGTATGCAAAATATTGACATATATTTCAACTGCCTCAATCAATAATCGTGTATAAGGCACCTTATTAATTAGTTTACCATTTCTAACTATAAAAGTTTAACTTCAGCAATAATTATGAAGGTATCTAATAACAAATCATTGTAACCTATATAGGTGTCTATTAATTCAATAGGTCAAGGTACTCACATAATCATTGATTACATGATCATTTTAAAGGACAATAGAACGTGAACAAAGTGTTGTGATAATTATGAATAATTTGACTAAATATGTTAGAAAGAGAATGGTTTGTAATGATAATATTATTAATAATGAAATACGCAATAGACAATCTAAATAGATTCGTTTCATTTACAAGATTGATTTGTTAGTGCACTCATTGTGTCTGTCTGTCTGTCTGTCTCTCTCTCTCTCTCTCTGTGTGTGTGTAAGTGCGAAACCATGACAATTCAGTTAACACTTAGATACAAGTTAACTTATCATTTACAATATTACAAATGATATTTTAATGTGATTATAATAATATGTACAATCAGTAAGCGGAAAATTCAAAAGCTGATTTTATATCTAATTTTCGACAATACATAATTGATTTGTACATGTAAACAAATACAATGATGAAGTATAGTGCAATTCAAGTTGTTTCGTTTTTAAAAGAATTAAACTTCCCTCCTGTTAATATTCAGAACCGAATATCTCGCTTATAATTAATTTTAGTCAGAAGGGGTTTCGTGGAGATTTTAGCAATTTCAATAGTTGAAATCATGAGTTCATTGAAGCTAGACCACCATGAAAAACGTGGAGGCACTGGACTCCATTTCGTGGGGGGTGGGATCATGGATGCACACTGTTGAGGAGTTCCATACTAGGACGAAATGGCCGTCCAATGCTTCCAGGTTTTTCATGGTGGTCTAGCTTCAATGAACTCATGATTTCAACAAATGAGTTAATTATAGGTTGTTCATATTTTGGATAGTAGTCATGAATGACA